GCATCTGAAAATGGCTCCATTCACTGAGACCACGGGGCTGAATTTAAAAAAAATGCTCAAAGATCTAGAGGTTTACATAGAATCCACACATATATTATCGAGGCATGTTAAATTGCAGCTTCTGGATTTCCATTTCTGTTACACGTGAGGTAGTGTGCTAGGAATGGGAATACAGAGTGCTGATAGGCTAATTTACGGCAGAACATATGTCGGAACCTTCAGCGCATATTTCAGGAAGACTTCGGAGCCATTAATTCAAGAATGTGATCAGCAAATTGCTTGACAGTTCTTAAGTGTCGCTGTATCAGCTTAAAAGAAGCATAAAAATACCTACAGCTGAAGAGGACTTTCGAGAAATATGTTAAAAAATCAAACATGTCATTTTTTTCAGCAAGGCTGGAAAAATAGAGAATGAGGGGGAGAATACAGGCATAAATAAATCGTCGGATAAAAGCGACAACAGAACACGCAGCAGTCATAGAGAATAGAAGCAAATCAAACATCAACAATGTCAGCTTGGAGGTGACTGTGTAGATATCTGTCTACCGGCGTCAGCTCGACACATCGATTGAGTGAGTTCTCATCGCAGGTCCAAACTCCAACCCATTGGCGGCTTGTCTTTTTTTCCGGCATAGGCGACTATCTTCATGGTTGTGAGTTTTAACTCGTGACCGGTTTCATAGGTGCGGCAGCTACTTTTGATAATCCCTCACCCGGTCGCACAGCCAACGCACGCTAGTATGTGTGTGATCCAAATATGCGTTCAGTCTGACCCATGCACGGGATGTGATACAATACACATGGCTGCTCACAGTGAGCATGCTTGACTCGCGCATGAACTAACATAAGCTGGCTGTGCGACGGGCTGACGGATTATCAGAAGTGGCTGTCTGAAATTACGAAACGGGTCACCGGTTTAACTTTGCAGCCACTAAGATAATCACCCACACCAGAAGCAAAACAGACTGCGGATTGATTGAAGCCGGGCCTGCGATGAGAACTCAGTCAATCTATTTATCGACATAAAGATACCTCCGCAGTCACCCCCAGACTGGCGTCGATGATGTTTTGTTAACGCTTTTATCTCCTACAGTTGACTCCTGCACGAATTCGGAAGCCCAGATGAATGAAGAAATGGTTCCGGCGGTCGGAAAAACTTCTTGCCTAATTATAAATACGCCTACGATGCAAATGTTCGCCTCGAACCGTAGCAAGGGCTGTATGAATAGCACTGAACGAAAGTTTGTTTGCCGTAAGGCTTGTAAATTCTATAACTACTGCAGCTACTCAAAAATGGAGGCGAAAAGGCTTGCTGACTGGACAGTAACTCGCATTAAATAAGTATTTGTCCTGGCTGAACTTCTCATTCGCCCCCCACTCTTCCGCTTTTTTATTCTCTCCTCAATGTGTTTGGCCGCAACTAGCAGTCTGTTCCTGTGTTTTGATTGAACGCACTCCTTAATATATGCGAAATTAGTCTACGTGACCGAAAACCATTTTTATGGGACCGGTAAACAAACTCCAAACATCGATACTTCTGTGTTTGTGGGTAAACTACGCGGTGGCGTTGTTTTTTAAAAAAACAGTGACAATTGACGGATTATCCGCCAGACGACAGATGGTGCTCCAACCTAGCGTACCTTGGGAATCCATTGCTCTTGTCAATCACATGATTCAACTAGATGACATCTGTCTCTTTTCTATTCTCTAGAAACTTGCTTTGACTTGTGTTCTGTGTTGTTGCAAATCTAAATCTCCAATTACCTCGACCTACCCTGTCAAGAGTAGTCTGTGTACAACCTTCTGGTCCCCTTTCAAGACGTAACCAAACACCTCGTTATGCCAGTTAGTGGTAGCTAATGTTACTGTGTTTCACCTCCTATCAGACTGACAACACGAATGCAGCCGCCATTGATCCATATCCACAGGGTGGTGAGACCTATGTGTCTCACTCCCCGCGCTTACTTCGCCAGACCACAATGGGCGTGTAGAACTCATCGCTTTCGCGAATGTTCGTCTGTTGCGTGCAGTCAGCCACCGTGACATGCACCTATCGGTGGGGAGAGGGGGGAGAGAGTTGGGTTAGTTGACAGCTTATGCCTACTCCGTTTTAAGTGTTTTTTTTTCGGCAACTGTTGCAGCTGCTCTTTTGGCTACTATTGGTGTGGTTGACATCCTTTGTCAAAACAGGTTTATCCACATAGTCGAAACGAATCTTCCCAGTGCCTACAACCTAT